CTCTTTCCACTGTTTCAACAGTGTGATGGGTGCCTGTTCCTCTTACCGCATGGGGGCTCATGGCTGGGTTGCCAGGATTTGCCAGCCATGGGAGCAATCTTCATCTAGGAGCTGGCTGCCAATAGTGGAAGCTCCTGGATGTCTCAGTAACCCAACCTCCATTTTCGCGATGCAGTTGTTAATGCAATATTCTGAGGCCAAACCATTTATATGTTTATCTGAAAGTACAGGTATTGTGTTTGAGAATTGTTTTCCCACCTCTCCTCAATTTACAACCATTCAGCCTTATTTTGCGTTCTTTCAAGTAAAGTAAAAACCTGCATGTAAGAACCTTGTGGTTTAAGAACCTGCTAGCAGAAATCTGCCATTTTAGTACCCAAAAATATAAGAACCTGTACAGCCAAACAAGATCACGCACGTTCTTGTATACGTGGGTTACAGTTAAATTATGATAAACATTTCAACCAAGTTAGGAGAATAAACTTAAAGTTGTGAATAAAATAATAGTGCATATTCAAGGACCAATACCACATTTATTTATTGTTTCTGGTAATCAACAACCATATCTCCTTCACAGAAATTAACATGTTAATTAAGCACCTACTTGGCCTAAATTGCCAATAACTCCCCCAAAATACAAGAACCTATTTTGCTAGACTTAAAATATAGGTTCTTGTAAACATGCGGATTTTTACTGTACTCAAGAGCTTACCTTCTTTGAAGCACCTTGTGCCTTGAAATATTCAAAACAGTTTCCAATAGCCCATCACTGTGGAGTGAAACAAAAAGAAAAACTGTTGACCAATATGTCCGAGAGTAATGACAGTGTGAAACAAAATGATCATTCAAACAGAAAGTACAACCCATCAGCCATGTAGCTGGGTTGAAACCTCCCACCTGATGGATTCCTAAAATGGTTAACAATGTATGTTTGTAATGAGTAATATTAATATCAATTTCACGAAAGACTGTGTTAATGACCAGATTTCCAAACACTGAGAAGAGAGTTGAAAATGCGATGCGCAGTGGAGTATTTTTGACGCACTTTGAGGCGTTTGGAAATGTGGTCAAACTCCATCTGGAGTGTTTGATATATCTTCTCAGTCAAAACTAAAGCTAAGGAAAATAGAGAAATAAAATCATAGAATCTATGCTAATTAAGATCAGATATTCAAACACCATCACAATCATGGTGTCCTTTGTTTCTGGCCGTCATTTCCCTTGTTAAAACTTGATGAATTATTGACGAGTTTGAGAACCACCGATAATAAACATTTTGTACAGTGTACAATGTACCTAGCACGTTTCATAAGCACAGCCAAGAAGCATGTGTATGTATTCACTAGCCTGAGAAAACAGATTGAAATGCCATCTGTATGCAAGCTGAATTCTTCAATCATAGACATAGCAACAGACAGAGATTACGTATTTTCCTTGGTCGCACACTCAGCCATGGTAATAATGGTGTGTCTCATAGACTTGACAAGTAGTCTACCAGACGCACCAGCTAGTTTACAGGTGCACAAAGAAAACAAGACCCAAGACCTGTCTGAGATTCTAACTCACACATTAATTCCACACTGATGACATATAGGTAGCTCTACAGAGGGTCTTGGATTCGCTGTTACCTGTACACAAAATTTCAACTGAGTACTAAGAAACCCGAGACATTAATCCCTGTAGAGCTACGTCAGCAGTTTGGAATCTTTTGGGTCAAATGTCTGACGTAAATAAAGTTGTTATATGTAAGAGGAATCATCCTTTTCAGGCTAAGATATTACCGGAGTATCTGGTCAGCCAAACAGACCCACATTAAACTGAAACATTGTGAAGACAGCTTACAGTGTAGATCCATTCATTTAATAGGACAGTTTACAGTGTAAGTTCCACAAACCTTTGTAGATATGGAGTTACCTCAGCTGCTGTCATCGCCGAGGCCCCAGCAAGGCAGAGTCTCTTATTCCCACCCTGCATGGGGTATGCTGTGACAGGACGAGGGGTCACCAGAGTCTGTGTCTGATGGTGCTGCTTTCTGAGAAGAGAGTGAAGAGCATACTCCAGGGAATGTACGCGAGGGGCTTTCTCTTTCTCTGCTGACTGCAATTTACCACATGAAATGAACAACAACAGTTTGACATTCAGAGATTCAAAATATTACCAAATGGCTAGTAATAACATAAATGGAAACTGAATAAACAGTGACAAAACAAAACTACATTTTTGCAGCTACAAGTGAAATAACAGTAAACAATAGAAAGCCCTGTATAACAGAAATGTACACTTTGCTATTATATACAAATAAAATACAAATTAAAAACGCCCCCAAAATATAGAAAACTAAACTAAAATAAAATATAATGTCAAAAAAAACCATGCATATGCTTACCACATAATAATAATTATAATAAAAATAATAAAAATAATAATATTAATAATATTTGTATATACACAAGATAACCCTGTCAATGTAATAAACACTGGCATCTGGTATCAAAGGAGGTCCTGTTATTAGAGTACATAAGTAAAAATACGAAAGGTTGAAAAGGTAAATATTCACTAAGAACATTGTCACACCGCCAAAAAAATATAAAAGAAGTATGCATCTGCACATAAAACACATTTGCAAAGCATGGTATAATAGCACACAATCCATGATGGCTAAGCCAATGAAAACTCTCGAAATACATTATCCAATGATCCAGCTTTTAATAAATGATAATAATAATAATTTATCATGCTTGGTGATTCTCTTTATTCTCATCACCTTTCTACTGAACAATCTATCGACATTTAAAGGAGAAATAAGATATTGATCATCCTAATAGGAATTCGGCTCAATGGCTACAACAAACATTTTAGATGTTGTACCTTTTTACTATTTTGCTCTGAATTGTCTTTTTTGCAACTGTATGTGATGCAAAGATCTGTCCCTGGAAAAATCTGTGGAATGAAATAAATAAGTCTGTATCTAATTCAAAATCTGACTTAAAATTACTTTGAAATTTAAAAGTATACAAAATTACATGAGTATGTATTTCCAAAACTGAATAAAGATCAAGATTAGTACAGAATTGGACACTCACCTCAGCTCTAATTTCATTTGCCATCACAAGGTGTGGTCTGTTTTCTTTTGTGCTGTAAGCTCCTTGTGAGAGCTGTTGATGAAAGAAAATAAGGGAGACTAAATAAATTAATAAGACTTTGTTATTCAAAAATTAACAAGTAAATTTTATTTAACATTTTCATGCTTTTATAACATTAAATAATACTGTGGTCTCCTACTGGGATACAGATATAAACTTTAACATAACAAAAACATTTGACATAAATATATACACCTGCAAGATGTAGCAACTACATGTATCATCAATAAGTAAGTAAATAAATAAAAGGTAGATAGATATAACAAGATTTTTTTGATGTGCACTGAATATCCATGTATGTCCATCCCATAAATGGCAAAAAAAAATAAAACAAACAATAAAAGAAACGTCTGAGATTTGGTCTTCAGAATAGCTTTTTATTATATAGACATGAGTGTTTTACTGGAAAATACACCACTCCTAAATTAAAATTCATACAAAACCACATCTGGGACTCAGGTAGCATATTTTCAATACCCTCACCAGTGAAGATATCAATGATTTCACTGATATCAAGTTTGCCTCTTCAATTGTACCTAAATTCGTTGGTGTATGATCAAAACATTTTTGGGTCTTCCTCAAAATGCTTCGACAATATTAATCTTCAGCGATCTTCGGTAATCATCGGAAATTTTCGGAAAATGTTCGACAACGTTCGTGTGACCTTCCAACAAGTTTTGGAGAATCTTCGGAAATCTTCCGAAAATCGTAACAAAATGCGGTCATCAGTATGTCTGTGTAATAAAAAGAACATTACACATTAGCTCGAAGATATGAATTTTATGTTCTCGTGGCAAGAACAATATCTCACTCATGAGATATTGTTCCTGCCACTCGAACATAAAATTCATATCTTCTCGCCACCGTTTAAGATCCTCTACATGTATATATCCAGCAAAAATCAGACGAGCTAAAATCACAACCAAACCTTACTTTTGAAGTGGTTCAAACGTAAATTTTACAATAATTACATTGTAACATGAACCAATTCTCAAGGCAGCAATGATGGAAAAAATAATCATACAGTCAGGTATATTTGCCAAAATGAGACTTGGGGATAACAATTAAGCAATGTTGACATAACATGCACAAGGCCTGCATTCAACCTGCACAAAGAGCTCCTTGCAAAACAGGTTTGACTGCGCTGATTCCAGCTTCTGTTGCCAGGATGGGATGACTGTTGGCATGTTATCATAGCAACCACTCATCAAACCTAACAGAAACACAATTTAATTTACAGTTTGATCCTCAAAAAGAAAACAGGTAAAACAACATGACTAAATTTTAATTTATAAGAATGGCACATCATAATAATTATAACAGTTATGCACTGAGTTTTTACAACTTTGTAAGCTCAAGGTTTAAAGAGATTATGATTACAACTTTTCACAATTCCTTCTGTACATATACTTAACAGTTGAAAACAGCATTTACATTAGAGCCAGCATTTTCACCTCAGTGATGACTACCACCTTCATTAAGATTTGTTGGTGTTAACTAAAGATACATTTTCAGTTGATAAGTATAGTCAATTATTTACTACACTTAACAATTAGATTATGAGCAGAAGATTTCTATCACATGATAATTGGTGAGGGCGCAGCCCAAGTCAACTATCACGCAAACAAATCGAGAACAAATACAGTGTAACCAATTTTTTTTCCTTATAAATCTACTATTCAACTAGCAAATATCTAAAGCTTCTCTACAGACACTTCAAAAATGCAAAGAAGTGTCCGCCATTTTGTAACAACTGCACAAAATTATGCTAGGCTACTCAACTGTCTACAACAGAATATATAGTGAGTAGTACAGCCACTAAGAGAACAGTATTCTTGATAGAATGCTTGTAGATGTATACAATAATAACATGTATATAGCCTGGCTATAGCACATCGCTTTATTGCAGATTGTGATTTTAACACAAATTGTACATCAAGTTGGATGTCTGTACTTGGAATTTTGAAATATAGTTAACAGCTCTTACCTCTAACAGTGGCAATTTCTAGCTCTTTTCCAGACTGAACAATAGCAACTCTGATTTCTGCTGTCCCCTCCAAATCACTTCCTACAGCCACCTCAAGTGCTCTGTTATCTTCAGTGGATTGCTCAGTTCTTTCTTCAGCTCTTGCTGCTTTTGTGACTTCAAATAAACCTGGATTTCTAAACTGGGAACCAGCTGGTGAGAGGGATGGCATTTAAATCATGTACAATGCTTTCCACATTACCATACATGTATGCAAATTTGCTAAATGTCAATGGGTGAAATCATCACCTTCTTTAGACTGGTCAAGAAAGGCTTATCATGCGATCATTAGACAGGCATGAAAATATTGAACCCTAGAGTGATCAGTATATTATTTCTCCTGACAGTATAAATGCATTGTGCAGAAGACAGGTTGTGAGAATAGAGGAATCATCAACTTATGGCAGGAGATGTTGTCTTGATGTAATATAAAATTCTCAAAACTAGATGTTTATGAAAGGAAATTTTGTATTGAAATCAACAAGGAGAATTATAAACACCAATGGAAGCTTGGGATCTGTTACTTAACTGGACTTCACAGTAGACTTTTTTGTTACCTTTATATTGACTTCAATCTACATGAACACATCTGTATGTACTGTAAATGTTTACCAGCTATACATGTAATTAAAAACCTAAGCTGTGAACTTTTGTTAAACTCTGTATAAATTTAGCAAGATCAGTCTGTATCAGTTTAAATTAATTGGTGTGATACAGTCATAACATTTCAATAATTGAAATGACACAAGGATGTCATTTGCGTCAATAACCGTTCATTAACCATTTACATCTTTTTTACCTGAGCGGTATGTCAAATCTCCAATTATGGATGCCCCTGTTCTTTTTAACCTCCATCTTTTTCGTAGCAACATAAGTTCTGAGTGAAAATCTTTCGCATTGCTTCCCTGGCTTGAGTGTTGATCAACTCTTTCTCTTACTGCATCTTCCATTCTCTGTGCTCCTCGCAGCAGAATATCTGCAGCATTGGTTAGACTCTATAAAGATAAGGCACAACATGCTTGAGCCTAATAGATGCAATCATTGTACACTTTATCTGATCAAAACACTGTGAAGCCATATCTAAATGAAAAAACAGGTCTTGGAGTTATGTCATGTATGGTATATCTTAAACACTGTCAGATTAAATAAGTTTAGAGTAGGTAAAGTCTGCATATGAGCCAAGTGGCTCATCAGGCCAGAATGTATCCCAGTTTCTGTAACAGAAAGCGGCTAGGAGTATTTCTACTCCCCTCTGGATGGTATGCTAGTCCATTGCAGGGTACCCCCAGCATTAAGCTTGCCAGAACCCATTTCTACCCCTGGGTACAAAGAGGCACTGTGAGAGTTTTAAAAGTGTCTTGCCCAAGAACACAACACAATGTCCCCGGCCAGGGCTTGAGCCCAGACCTTTCAATCTGGAGATGAGTGCACTAACCATGAGGCCACCGCACCTCCCAGAGTAGCTAGCCTAAATTTTCAAATTTTCAACAAGTGACCATAATAATTATTACACTGTATTATTACAGATTCTTATTACATTCAGTCTCGATCTCCTTAGCACATTTGTACATGTAGCCATTCTTCTTCTTTTGTATCTCTCTTTTTTTAATATTATTACATTATTTTATCTTTGGGTTTTTTTCTTAACTTGGTAGACTATCATTCTCAGTTTCATTCATTTTGTATGGAAGCTCTTTCCATCATTCTATCATAATTCATGGTGCCGCCAGGTTGCCTTAAGAAGATGACAACAATTCTCCGTTTGACAATAGTCGTCATCCATGAAACAGGTTTTCATTACGTGATATGGAAAAAAAAAAACTCGTGTTTTTATACAAACCTTCTTTTTCAGTAATCAGAGAGAGGGTAGCTTTAGGCGTGACCTGGTTTTGAGAAACTGGGTCCAACACCATGCATTTCTTGTCACGCACTACATTCAGCACATCCGATAATGCACAGACCTCAGTTAAGGTATCATGGTAGGTGGATTGACAGTGTTTGGAAATCGCGATCTTACGCTGGCGCTTTGAAAGAAAACCCCATCAACCTATACATTTTCTGAAAGTTTAATAGTTATAGAATACAATCATATCTTTGAAATTTTCTTAACAGTTATTGTCGCAGTGATATTAAAAGAAATACCCAGAAACACTGCTTCGTTTAAACTGGTTCGCTTCCGCGCGAGAATTATCGGAACGGCGCGATTTACATCGGAAACGTTTTCTCACACATCACCCTCAAAAATCGTGTCTGCGATTTTCCAGATGTGGTTTGGTTTTTTTTCTACACCATCCTAAACTTTGATATTTTTAATGCGGACGTTTCCTTCTACAAAAGAGGCCATAACTTTGAAACGGAAGCGAAATTAAGCAAAGCCCGACCCGGTTTTTCGAAGGAGGTATCCTAGAACATACCTGCCGAGTTTCAGCCAATTCCATCGGAAAACGCGCGTAAACGAACTAAAAATGTTCATCCATATATGCAGTTTTATTTTATCGAGAAAAACACGAAAAACCTTCTATGAGATTTGTATGAATAGGTGTTAAAAATCCCCTCCGCACTGACAGATGTCGGCATGAGTCAGTTTACCACAACAATGGGTTATGACAACTTGAAATAAACAGACGACTAATATTCTGGCGCGGAAACCCGCGTCGCAGTGAAGTCGTCCGAGAAGGGACAAACTACAAGTTAAACTGCCGCTATCTTTTACTTAAAAGATTTCGTCGGCGGCATTGGTATTATGTTGCTTAAGTTTAGGCTCCTTCGTTCTCCAGACATTTTTTGAAACCATGCCTCGTGAAGCCGAAAAGCATGAAAAAGAGGAAATCTCGAGGTCTACATTGTCAACATCTACGTCTGCGCTTGACTCTCTCGTTGTGGAAATTTCGGAATCGCGTCCGTTCTACAACAATTTCGTGCGACTAGCA